CTGGGTAGAACTGTGCAAATTTTACAGCATTCAAGTTCTGTAACACTAGAATGAAGTCATGACTTTGAGATCTTGGATTTGGTATTAATGTTAGCCATTTAGCTCTTATTAGTACACATGCTTGTTACTCATGCAAGTAATTGCACTGACTTGAAAGAGGCTTTCTGTAGCACAGGGGCTTGCCCCCAGTCATCATCACAGAGTCAGCCTGGTTCTAAAGCAGCTAAGGAAACACACTCTAACGCTTGCAGGGTGAAGTACTTATGCTCTGGCCAACCTCTTCAGTACCAAGAATGAAGAATTGAAGAGATGTTATTTTTCTGAGAAGGGAGATGGGAAGGGAGAGTGAGAAGGGAATGGGTCAGGAACCATTTGTGACTAGTTCAAGCATAGACTAAAACCACCCTTTGGTTTTCACCTAGCTCCTAAGGGAAGCAGAGGTTACCTCTTGTGACTTTCAATGTCCTTTCCTTCTGCTCCCCGCTCCATACCTTTCGAACCCATATGGCAGTTTACGTCTAAATTGAAACAAGCATAGATAACTCAAAGACATTTACATTTCTTGGGTTTCTGACAAAATTAATGACTGGGTAGAGGTGAAAGATCCATGTTTGTGCTACTGGAAAGATCAGCAAGTCAAGCTCCTGTGCAGCTCTGAACTGACGACAGCACATCCTGTATCCTGTGTGGTGGGGACCCTGAGTGGCCTTGGAGAGACAGAAGATGAAGTTTCTGTAAAGGTGAAGCTGTGGGATATGTTCTTCATGGGACAATAGACTTCATGTCTTTCACTGCTCATAAATCATTTGGTTACCATCACCTAACTGATTGCCAATAAATTTGTTAATTTATTAAATATTAGTAGTAATATTGGACTCTTCTATAATGCTCTTCATCACAAGATTCCAATTTCTTTTCACAATAGAGAGGTATCAGTATTTCGTTTTTTATAGCTGGGGGATGTTACTCAGAGGACCAGTTTTGGGCTGAGTACAAAATTATACACTAGCGGCCAAAGCCACAAGTTAATTTTGATGTGCTAACACCGCTTTAAAACCACCCTAAATATTTTTCCAGGCTAAACACATTTGTTTCTCTTAATAAAGTTGAGGGGGAAACAAAAGTTCAATAACAAAATACCGAGACTTCAGTCTAAAGTATCAAACTGCTTTGAAGTGAAGATAGATTTTAACACTTAGCCATTGTCCATTTTAAAGTATAGATCAGTAATGAATGCAGATTTTCCTATTTTGAGATCTCTGAAAAGCCTTTAGCTGTTCTTAAGTGGATATCTTAGTTCTCCTATGGCTACTGTGGAGCAGTTGTACCCTATATATACAGGTGACAGGCAGGGAGGCAGCTGCCAGCCTTAGCTCTGTCTGGCAAGGTCCATGTACCCCCGTTATATAGCAGTGGCTGCTAAGCAGCTCTGCCTTCAGTTGAAAATGCATTTTTTCCCAAATCTGCACTTCATAAATCTTCCAAATTTCATCATATGCTTTTTGTAGAATCATTAAGGTTTGCAAAGACCTCCAAGATCATCAAGTCCAACCTTTGACCAAATACCACCATGTCAGCTAAACCATATCCTTTAAACAACCTGTGCTCAACTGAGCTTCATAGAGTTTAACTTGAGGGAGAGAGCTTCAGAAAAAGTTATGGGTAAATTTAAAGGCTACTTGCTACTTGCGGAACAGCACATAGTGACAGTCAAAAAAGTACAGTTAAAGAGTTAGGAAAAAAAAACCTAATTGGAGGCTGATTTTATAAATAGGATACTTAAAAACAACATCTTGAAAAAATGGGTACTTTTCCAGTGTAGTGTATCATGAATCAGAGGAGCTTGTGACCAAGAGATTTTGAGATCAGGAATTTACGTGACTGAAAATAATCATCTTTATAAACACTGAAAACACATAGGACAATAGCCCAGAAACTTTGCAAATTTATAGGCCACAAGTCTAAGCAAGCTATGGATATACATTATGTTCCTTGCCATTTTGTACCAAGTGACAGTGGTTCCTTGTAGCCCTCAGTTGTGGTAGAAGATTGTGTGGACACCAATTCTTGTGAGCCATGGTCCAGAAATCACTGCTTTTTATTTGGCTATATGCGTAGCCATTAAAACAAATAGAGAAACAACAACCCCCCAAAACCCCAACAAAACCCAGCAGTTATTTGTTGGAAGACATGAGAGGTGCTGGAGCTTACAGGGGCATCCCGAATACTGCTTGTACAGTCAAAAGACTGATTTCAGTTCTCTATTGAAATAAAGGTGTGCTGGCTTTGACAGGTGTGCAAGAGTTTGACGTAGTTCAGACTTTCAGCCTTCAGCTTCTGTTTAGAGGATAAGGTGTCTGTTCCCGCCTAGTTTCTGAAAAATCTTTTCTGTGATTATGATTTGAAACTTTCCACTGCCAATGGACTCCTTAAAAAGGCACCTTTTAATCTGCCTATCACCAAACCCTTCACAGAGTTCATGAGCTTGAATGAAATGAAAATTTACAGCTCCCTTGTCTGAGGACACAGCCTATATACGAGCATAGCCTGAGACTTCAATACTAGGACAGCCCATGGTATGAATTCATAAGCATTACCATATGCACAATAATTAAAACCAAGGACTTTCACTGGAAATGAGACAGATTTAATATTTTTCCCCCTAGATCTCTCCCCCAAGGGCGAATTTTTATGTGCATTCTCTGGTATGTAACAAAGGCTGTCACACTGCAGTCTTTTTTTGCAGGCAGGAATCAATAGGGTCTCTCTCTCCTCTCTCTGGCCACCTATTTAAATTTGTAGGAACTTCATATCTCTGAGCTTTATCTGGCTCTGTTGTATTTGATTGAAATTGGCCCATGGATTGTTAAGTTACTGAAGGAATGGTGGTTGGACAGGGAAACAGATGCATGTGTTCACTCAAACATCCACACTCATGTATTCCTTGCAAGACTTGTCTAAGAAAACCCTCCTCCAATGTAAGACTTTTAACTAGTGTCCTCAAATCTCTATCATCTTCCTCTGAGCACTCACAAATTGCTAACCTAGGAGAGTAAAAAATGTGCTGCGAAGATGGGCTGCTTAAGTTACTTGCGTATGGCAAACTGAGCACTCCAGGAGTTCATGGCCTAGGCTGTCACTCACTCTTGTTGAAATATCTGGTAAAGGGAGCGGGATATTAAAATTTGCAATCATTTTTATTAGCTTTAGAGCAAATGTCTACAGCCTGCCTAGATATTTAAGGATCAATACAGCTCTACAAAACCAATTCTATTCCCACGATTAATCCCATGTACAAAATTCAGAAACAAACCTTACTGCCAAATTGCAAAGCTATTTTGTACTATGGAGACGTGAAAATTATGTCTTGGGTGTGACCAAAGATGTCACCGTTCATCAGCTGAAGCCATTACCCACTGTGTGTGTGCTCTTAACCTGCCTCGGTTGTGGACCCAATGACATTAACAAGAAACACACTGGGACGTGTAACAGGAGCAAACATGAGCTCAGTCATATAACGCTGCCTTGCCTCAAGCTTTAAGCTGCAACAGCCAAATCCTTCTGGTCATGTGCTTGTAACTCACACAAAGTCTAAGGATTTTAGAGTGCTTGGAAACGTCAACTTTTGAGTGGAAAAATGTTTTTGATCTTTGCAGCACAACTGGTACTCTGCTCTGTTATTTGTTCTAGTCGACACAATTAGTCACTGACCGGGTTTATTATTTACTTGTGACCCTTTGTCTTGCATCCAAAGTTGCAGCTTTAGGATAGAACAGGGAACTGTAACATCTTGAATTGCATATTCTAGAGGGTAGTGGTGTTCCAGCAACTCCATGTCTGATGTGGGGTTTTGCCTCAGCACCTACAGGTATAGATTCTTTCTCAATTAAACTGATGCTTTTGGGTTGTAGGGGCTTTTTTTGGAAGGTAGGTGCATGTTTGTGCAAACAGAATGTCCTTTTCTGATATTTAAAACACAACCTCACACCACAAGATAGTATTTTCACTTGAGGGCTTGAAGGAAAGAACTGCTCCTTCAGAATTACACTTCCAGTTATCCGAACAAGTGTGCTTCAGCAATCCTCACTGAGTGCACATTTCTCAGTACTTTAAGTGCCGCACGAGTAACAAAGTAACACGGCGCTACGTTTGCGCTTTGCCTTATCCAGTGAGCCCAAAGCTGCAAGTTCAAACTACGGTCTTTTCCTTTTTCCCGGCCGATGCCAGAGTAATGACAGTAGCGAGGGGCCGCAGCCGTCGGGCGCCGGGGGCAATCCCTGAGGGGAGAACTGGGGGCCGGCCCGGCTTCCTCCGGGCTGCGCGGCACTGCAGCCCGATGGCGAGGGGCAGAGACACCAGCGCCCTCCCTCCTCCCCCCCTGCCCTCAGCAGCCGGGACCCCTCTCGGGCGGCGGAGACTCCGGGCAGAGCGCACCGAGAGCTGCGGCGCTGGGTCGGTGCGGCGGGCGGCGGCGCGGCCCGGGCCCCCGCGAGGCCATCGGGCACAGACCCCATCCCGTCCCGCGGGGCAGCCCCCGCCGCCCGGCGCCCCCTACACCTCTCTACCCCATTTTCTTTCCCCCGGC